TTAAGTAATAGCGATTTATACTACACATTTAGTATAAATCCTTGAAACTTTGCAGCGCTGATACGTAATTTCACTCCCTCAGCTACCTAATTTGGCAATTCCGAAAATAGTACGAACAACTGAAATTCTTCCTTTACGAGCGCTCGAACTCACACACACTTATACATATGTACATCAGTACGCGCAAATGTTAGTCAAAATGAAAATAAGCGACATATTATTATTTTGTTTTTGCTATTTTTAGTTTCTTTTACGTGGGAGGAAGGACTCTTTCTCCCGCATGGTGCCCTTGTTTTCTGCTAAGCTAAGCGTATATTCTCAATCACTCTAAATGATTTGCCTAACAAATATACTGGTATATACTTACAAACAGTGCAAAGCACGCATTGACCCCTATAAATAGGCGATAAAGCTGGGCTGGTGGGTTTTACAAAAATAGCAAAACGTGTAGGTGTAGCACAACTGGCGGGCATTTAAGGAAAAGGCTAAATAGATTGTAAAAATTGTTTTATCCGATTACCCTCTAAGAAGTAATATTTGGCATTTGACGAATTGTTTGTGTATATTAGGGTGTTCCTATAATAATGATTTCTTCTTCATAGAGTAAAAAAATTTTCTGTGCGAAATTTTCATATTACTGATAAACATTTGAGAAATATTTGATGTAATGCGCGAGAATTTTTAATTTAATAATACGCTCTTCGCAGAACAAGAATCCGGTAGTTTCAACTAACTTTTTCTCGCTCGTTTTGTATGAAGAGAAATCAAGAAAGTTTCGAAGTATGCTCTTTCTTCATTGCTTATACCAAAGCACCAATAATATACAAAAATCTTCTCAACTACGTCTTCAAAATAAAACTTCAGCTCAAACTTTAAATCAATTTGTGACGGAATTTTTTTCCATTTGCTACCAGGCATACGAGTAATATATGTAAATTATACTAAGTAGATCTACATATAAATATTTTTAATATACGGCAACGCTAGTGCATGTGTACACGTTTGTACTGTTTATTTCACTGTTAGAAGCGGAGTAAACAACAAGCTTTCGAAGAAGAGAAAAGTGTATGTAAATTTTGAGAAATATCAGATTTGTCTGTGCATTATATGCATATATGTATTTGCAAATATATATTTTTATATTTATGCAAATTTGTTTTCACTTTACTAGCAACTTTCGATTTAAAAGCAAGTGATATAAATTTGGCGAAAAATATGATAGAAGCACTGAAATACGCAGATAACGCTGCATTACACGAATGACGAAAACATATTCACTTCTCTCTAATACTATTTCTATGTATATCTTTCTTTGATTGAAATTCACTGCATTCATTTAAATCTAAATGCTACTTGTGATTAAATAAGATGAAAGTGCATTTTCAATTTATCAATTTAATATAATCACTTTTCAACATTCATAAAATTCAGTTTGCTTCAGAACCAAAAAGCTGGCTGCTACAGTGCGTATAAGTAACATTAGATGCTAAATAATTTCGTTGAATTGACATAAATTACTTTAAGGGTGTATTCTAGTGTAGAATTTCAAGTAAAAATCGATTTTATCCATATTTTCAAAAGTTAACTATTTAAGAATATGTCAACGTGAGGATTTTTGAAAATTAAAATTATTTTCAAAGATATAGACATTTTACTGACCCGGCCTCCAAACTGGTTCGTCTGGGTCTAATCGAACAAAAGACTTTACGCGAAACTTTAAACGCGTTTTTCTCAGACCAGACTTTTTCAATACGATACCCACGATTTCTCGAGTTCCACCGGACCGAGTTACTTGAGATATTCGGAATCTTCTTTATAGACCTCTCTCGAGTATGAAGCGTCCTCCACAAATTTCAATTCTTACTATGTAAAAAAAATACGAGAAAATAAAAAAAAAATTGTAAAAAAATCGGCATTCTGTCAAAAAACAATATACAATTGCGACATCATTGCAGATTGATAATCTTTTTTTTCATTTTAGATGACTAGGAGGGTTGAAATCATTGGTATGCTCATGTGCCAATTTTGCAAGACCCCTCAGCTGCCAGTTTTTTAAATTTTTACCTTTTTTTTTGACAATTTTCTGTACTACAAGAACATAAACAAATGACTGATAAAAAAATCGATAATAAAAATTTGTATAGCCTTTTTTTACGACACTTTAAAATTACCTAAAATTAATGCCTCTAAACAACAAACACAACAACTCGAATGAATTGTAGGTTTTAAAATTATTTGGCTATGAAATCATTTTTTTTTTTTGCTTAAAGAGACTTTTGCAGTATTTTCAAACTGGTAATGTATATATTTTTGACTAGAATGAGTTTCTCTGAAAATATATTAGTTATGGAGATAACTTTTAGAATCATCAATGTGGGAGAAGCAGAAGAAGCGACATTTTAAAAGCCAGCTGGCCTGCAAATCAGAAAAGTATTTAGTTATATCTAATATATATATATATATATATATATATGTATATTTATATGTATTTATCTAAGTGACATATTAAAACAGCCTAAGTCAATTTTGTCTAAAACAGCTAATTGGTAGAGAACATAAAGCTGTGCATGTTTATTAATAACATTTAACCAAAGATTTAAATTTTCGCTTCTAAAACATTACGGATAATAAAACTGAACGTCCCGTTTCGCGTAAATTTCTCAGAATAACAAAAAATGTCACAAGAAACTTAATTCGAGTTAGGTTACTTTAACACCGTGCCCTACCTTTTGCTTAACACTCTATCATATACCATAAACATTTATAATTATTTTCTTTGTTTTAAAAAACATTCTTTTAATTCCGAAAAGTGTCTACAACTTTTTTTGAGAAAAAGCAATAGCAGCAAAAACAAAAAAAATTACTTCCAGCTAACTTAGGTGTTTCAACCGAAGTGAAAATTAAAAAACGAAAGTCGTTAAATGTCAAAAGAAAAGTGAAAGTTCAGCCAAAACGCCTGGCTTATTCAACTTCAACAACGCTAAAAATATAAAAAAGACAACTTTTTCACTTCTTTTGTAATTAAACTTTCAATGGTATTAAAATAACGCAACTTTTTCTACAATAATTTCACCAAGCCTTTGGCGTGTACGTTATATAAGGGTACAGTTAATTTATTCAAAGAAAAAGTTTAAAAACGCCTTCGCTCAAAAAAACGGCATCATACAAAATTAGCAGAACTACATATTGCTATTTTCTACTACTTTATTTTGACTTCCAGCGAAGTTGGTTAACTTGCAAAATATACAAAAGCAACAAAGTATAAACGCGCTTATTTTCTCAACAATTATAAAAAGCCGTTTAGCTTAAAATGTCGATTAAAGCAACCACAACACCAGCATTATGCCGCATAAATAACGGCAACAACAATCTGAAGCTTAAATTACTTGCAAATTCGCAACGTTCATTTCCTTTTACGCATTCTTAATTCTGGTTACGCTGATTTTTCAAATTTTTACTTTTAATTTTTATTAATTTTTTGTTCTTTCTTTTATGTTCTTTTGTATTTTTTGTCCAACTTCGCTCACTTGTATTGCTTGCAGTGTTGCTTTTGCTTGTCTTTTCAGTTGCCGAGCGCAATTATGGAAATTCTTTTCAAAATAAGCGCAGACAAAATAAACGGCCACATAATCAGCGAAACCAAAAAAAAACCAACCATGAGGTAGAACAAGAGATACCAAATAACACAATGCAGGAGAAATGAAAAAATCATACCTGAAAAGGACGCGGTGGACAGGTAAAAGAGCATCAAAGTGTATAACTCAAACAATTCAAATGCCAAATGGAGGGAAGTTATTATCAGTGACAACCGCAAATGCCGTGAATGTTTTTTACGCGTGCTATGAATGCAGTAGGCTAAGCTTTAAATTGGAAGCAACAAAAATAAGACTCTCCATGACAAGAAAAATGTTCTCAACTACTTAATATCTTATAATTTTTAAGTTATTTAAATATATGTATAAATTTCACCAAAAAGGCGTAGCTATAAAATAATCTAATCCAACTGAACTTTACTTGCCTTTTATTTATTGTCAACAGTAATTTTCATAGAGCTTTGAGTTCGAAATTTAAATTTTTGAGATATATATGGTACATAACGTGATTTATCTTTGCTCGTTCTGAGCAATTATAAAATCTGAAATGACTTGTGCTGGTGGTGTTTCTATTTTTGGTACAATGACAGTCGACTGCTCGAAGTAACTTCGAGGACGCATAGATATACACTTGTCCGCAACGATTCCAATAGACATCATAGCCGTAATATACCTGCATGGATCGCTAAGGGTATTGCTTTTTAATCTATTTATACTCGAAGATATACTTGATTCCTCCATAAGTTCTGTTACAAGTTCAGACCGCTAAAAGAATGAAACTACTATAATACATATTTTAATAAAGTTAACCTTTTTAATCTAGCATATATTAAATAAAAATATAATACAAATTGTCATTTTTTTCTTGCACACAATCCCTCAAAGGATTTGGCAATTGATTTGACAGGACAAGTTCTCAAACTCTGATCACGAACTGTAGTTTAACGGATTGAAAGCTGCACTTCCAGACGACCAATAATCAGCAGCTATGAAAAAGGAATATTGCTTTTAAGCCACTGCTGGGTGGTCTTTGTCTTGGAGCAGAATCTGTCTGAAAAATCCAGTGCAGTGCAAAGAGTACTCCTTAATAGCTTGACTACTAAGCTGTACCATAACAGCACTTTTTTCGGCAAATTTGTGTATATTTTGAAAAGAGATTTATTCCTCTTACAGGTCACTGACTTGAAAATTACTATTACAGTGGTAATATATTTAATCGGTTTGTCAAGTTTAAAAACTGGAGCTTTCTTACTATACGACTAAGGGGCTTGAAACTCCGTCGGCTTTTTTGATTTCGTCTAGTATTTGCTTTTTTAATATATTTAATATATTGGGTTTTCACCATCATAATTAATTAAGTTAATTATAAAATATATTTTAAAAATATTTTCTCTTTCAATGTTGCAGTTACTTCCAGCTTTGTGCCAAATAAGCTGAAAAATACAAACAAATATGTAACAAACACGCTCATCAAATGCACACACATATTGAAAATTAATTTTCGGATATGGAAGTTTATGGTGACGTCTACTGCGGACGCAAATAATGAAACCTTCAACAAAAGAAGAAACAATCACAAAGGCACGCATTTCCATTGCATAGCCACAGGCGCATGAACATGATGTGAACATTTTTAAGAAGAATATGAGTGGAAAAGCATTTTTGCATGCACACATCAACATAATAATTAAAATCACAGAAAATATATTAACTCCAATAAAAACAGCAACAATAAGAGCTTATTTCGCACGCTTAAATACATGTTGAATGCGCCTTTCGTCGGTGTTGTCGTCTAAATGAAGTTAACAATCTGTCAAATTGGTAAATTATTTCTGCTGCTGACAGCTTTCTTCCTACTCCTCGATTCCCAACAGTTAGTGGGTGTGCATTGTATCGTCGAAAAAGTTGCAATTGAACGTTTGAATGCATTGGATGCTGACACCACAGGTGAGCTGACAACGGTGACTGCAATAGAAGAAGCACAAAACACCACAAACGCAAACGTGACAGCTGTCAGGGCAGTGATAGTTGATAAGGTTTGCACTCAAAATAACAAAAACAACCACAGCCAGAAACGTGGTCAAAATAATAGTGGCCAGACCTTTGATATTTGTGTTGAAGAGCAAAGTCAGCCGCAAGAAAACGCAAGAAACTCAGGCGTCCTAACAACGGCAGAGTCACACACGATATTTGAGTACACTATTACGACAACAAAAGCCACCACGTCAAAGCGGGACTACTTGCTGTATGCCCCAAGTATTGGACAACACCGTGTCGACGCATTAATGAGCACAGCGGAATCAGCTGAGTTGCAACAGTCACGCGCTGAGGCACAAGATGTGGCGCAAACGCACAAATTAATTACAACAACACCAACCAACCAGTTAGTGGATGTAATAGCAGGAACAGCAACTGTAGCAACAACAAAACAGGAAAGTGTTGGCAAACTTTCAGGTGGGAAAAATGTTGCAGATAACGACACGACAAGCGAACGACGAAATCAGCAAAAAATGTTATTTAACATGGAACAACAGCGACTGCAACAATTACAAGGCAGCGAGCAGGCAAGCAAACAGCAACAAGTGCAAACACAAGCGCAGCGACAACACCAAAAAGAGCAAATACATCGACCGCGACAGCAATTCGACCCAATACAGCAGCCATTAGCAACAAAAGCAACAACAGAAAACCACACAACAACAACGCTTAGCACAAGTCAAGCACGCGCTCACTTATCCACCGAAATGAAGAAGTTGCTGAAGTTTCCAACCAAAATGGCACAGCAACAGCTGCCAAAACAACAACAACAACAGCAGCAGCAGCGACAAAAATCAGCAAATAAGGAGAATGGATCTAAAATGCAACTACAACAAGAAGACGCAAAACCGGAAATACGCAAGCAGCGCAAACGAAAGCCACTTGAAGTCGTACTGCGACAACAACAAAAGCTACAACAACAACATTCGGCACAACCACAATTCTTCACTTTAAAGCCACTGCCAACACGAAGCCGACAACCACAACAAAACGGCACAGTATGGCAACAGCATGTGGACGAACAGCTGCAACAGGATGCACAGCACGTGCCCGAGTATGAACCGCTGCGACAACAACCGTTGCATTCCACCGTACGCCATCAACATGTAGGCGTTTTAATTCCATCCCGCATTTTGGACGTGTTGCATGTACAGCAGGGCTTTTACAACTTTCTGGATTTCTTTCATGTCAATCTGCAAAATGTCAGTGTCGATTTTATACGTGATGACGGTAAGTACAGCGAGATGATTTACATACTTACCATACATGCATATCACATTCTTACAACCGTTATTTCACCGCAAATATGGGTAAATCAAAGTTATACACAATGCTTTACAAAGGAATTACTGTACTATTTACTGCATTACCAACTCGCTTAGAATAACTTTGATAACTGTTAAACTTAGCAATTTCAGACATGAGTAGGGTGACAAATTGTTTAAGTCACGATATAATGCTATACTTAGATATATGTCGCAAATGATAGGCATCGACCTTTTTCCACTTTAATTATGTCAAAATATGAAACGAAGAAAAACAACAATAGAAAGTGGATCGAGAATGAGTAATGGCGGTTAAACTCATACTGAGAGCTGCTACCGCTGGTTTTTGACGATACTGGTGAACTTATCGTCCATAGTTAGAAGAAGTCTACTAGTGCATAAACAGCGCAAGCTACTGCTACTACTACAAGTACACTGAGTGTTAGCTTCAGAGTTCGAAGCACGTCTATAAAAAACTTAACTTCACGTGATCTTCGGTACTGTCAAGCAAGCTGATTTGCGCCAGCGCAGGCAGCGAGATTGCCATATTCCAGAATCAACAGATTGCTTATATCCGATTAATAAATAATCGTAATAAATTATGAACAGTGAGGAGCCATCTACAGTGTCTAGGAATCTAGCATGTCCGTCAGTGCCATTTTCGTAATCAATATTAAATAGAATCAATGTATATTACAATACCGCCTTGATGGTGTTTCACAGCCCCCTAATTCCATTTAGCATAAATCTTTCATAATTTCTATGTAACAGACAATTGTTATCTTAATTATAGGTCATACAGTCTCTTATAAATAATGTTCTTATAAATAATGCTATATCAATTTAATGTGTGTATTAGGTAAAAGTTTCCAACGCTTTCCGATACCTCTCCAGCACAAAATATTTTGATCACTTCTTCTTTACACTCTCCTTGCAATTATAAGTGACAATCTGCCGGAAATAGTTATACGATAAAAAGAGGATTTTGCTGTATTCTAGATTTTTTAGTCTTACTCCGATTAGAGGTTGAGAAAATCAGTAGGAAACAATAAAAACGTTAATTTCGCCCGCACCGAAGCTATAATACATATGCTCTAGTGATCAGAGATCCGACCATTGCCTTAGATAATAACTCATGCCAAATATCGTGAAGATATTTTGTCAAATAAAAATGTTCTCCATATTGGCTTAGACAATAACTCATTCATTCCGGTTGTTCAGTTTATATGGCAGCTATAAGCCATAGTGACCCAATAACAGCGCTTAGCGACAAATGAGCAGCTTCTTGGTGTAAAAAGTACATGTGTAAGCAATCAGATCTATTTATCAAAAATTGATTGCCTAGCTCGCGTGTATGCAGACAGACGCCCACGACTAAATCTACTCAGCTCGCCATGCGCCATATATATTTATTTCTTCTGGGTGTTACAAATTTCATAGCAAACTTAATAACCCTGTTCATTGTTTAAAATAATGATCCACAGCAACTTAGGTACTTTTCTCGAAGGGTCTAATTTTATGTCACTAATATATTATTCATATTGGTCGAATAAGACTAAATATGTAAAAATTTTTATTTTATTCTGTACATATATCTTCTACCTTTTCCTACCAATTAAAAATGTATAGTTAATTTAGTTTCTACTATAATATTATGCAGCACTACTGCTCATGCATACATAATTAGTATAAACAATACCAAGAACACAGCAATATTTTTTTTACAATCGCTTTGATTTGATCAAGCAAATACAAATAATTCAGACAACCAAATGCCGTAACCTCCTCAGTTTAAAAATTATCTTTATGTCTGCGGTATCACACAACGCTTATGCAGCCAATGGAGCATGAAAGTTTCACTAAGAGCTAAAAGTTGTGCTTAAAAACAAATAGTGGTGAAAGTATGGATTAAATGTGTGAGTAGAAGAATGGCAAATAAGTTTTTATAAATATCGCAATACAAACTTATATTTGCTGATTTGATAAATTTTAAATGAAGGACTAAAAATGGTAGTCAAATAAGAGGCGGTTTCAATGCATTTTTAGCATATAAAAGGAAAACGAAAACCCATCTGTAGAAACTGAAAAATCAGAATTCTGAAGGCCTGCAAAGTAGACCTCCGTAGAGGCGTTAACCTGCTTATTCGTTTCAACTGCTAGAACTTATTCATATTAGACCAATGTGAATGTAGATCAAATCAAGTAAATCATGAAATTCGATAGCAATCACATTTCCATTCTTTCGCGCTCTTTGGATCAGGTTCGACGAGTGAAGTGTATTACTTTGATTATTCCTTGGTGCACCATTGTGTAACGTCGATAGTTGTATGAATCTTCTATGAATTGAGCTGAACGAACTGAGTAAGGAAGCAACAGATGAGTTACCCTCAAGTTGGCTTTGATTCTGACAATATGACGACCGGTCAAAGCTCTTGTACTACAAAATTAAAAAAATTTCCGACCGTCATTACGGAAAATATTCAGAAATTTTATTAAATATAAAATTAATTTCTTTGATAAATTTGCTATACCTATATACCTAAAGACTTAGACTTTACTGTCAAACGCAATTCCTCTCTCGGATTTAATTAAATGAAAGAAACAGGCTTTATTTTCATAATTTGGCTACCTGCTGTGAAAAATTTCTTAATGGTTCCACAAAGAATTAATGGAAGAATATTTTGTAGCTTTCTCAAACTTTTTTAAAGCCTATTAATTATTTTACGACAGACTGTTTTAAATATATGAAAGCACAACAAAAAATATGTTGCTTTCCTTATATTTTGGCATTAAAATTTACTCAAGCATAAACTGACAAAATACACTCCTTAATATCAGTGCGGTAGTATATCAACATACAAAACAATTACCCTTTTTTCGCCGACAAAATTTATACAGTTTATAAAAATATATAAATTTCTTACATCCTCAATATATATTTCATTTCACACTCGTAAAAAAGATTATATGCATAATTTTTACGTTTATGTATTTATCTTTACCTTCTTCTTACAACCGTGTGCTCTCTGTGGCATGAATACGCACACACAGATTTAAGTGGCTTCATTAAACTGCTCGAACATCCGAAATATACGACTGTGGTGAAAACCTTAAATACCGGGATTAATCTCGCTGACGACGAGTTGGCGCTGAATGGGAAATTATCAGCAGCAACATGGCCAAGTCAACGGCAATCACATCAACAGCGGCAGCAACAGCAATCTGTAACACCAGCACAGCTTAATAATGCAACAGCGGCTTTCTCGAAGGTTGGCGAAATGAAAAAGTCATCAACGTCAAATAATGCGCCACTTGTCGCCTACTGTCACTTGACTGAGCAGCTGTCACAAGAGTTTAATAAAACAGTACTTGTTTGGCCGTGTCCGCGAATGAAGGTGAGTAAAAGAAGGTTATAATTTCCTTGTATATATACATACATATATACTTACATTCAGTTTATTTTGTGGCTTTGTGCAGGCGGCAAGTGGAAAAATCATTTATTATACAAAATGTATCTTTTGTTTTGCTCTGCTATCCTTACAAAGTGTACAGATGCAAGAGATAATTATTATTAATAGTGCTGTGCTTCCACCTTGCTAATTGGTTGGCTGGAGTTCTACTGTTATGTGTTTACAGCTTTATGTAATATTTCGAATCTTTTATGAAAGGCTGATGAAATTTTAGAGCTAATTTGCTCATGCCTCAAATTTAATTATTAGCATATAATTTAACCAATGCTAAAAATCTTCTTTCGTAGTAATATTGAGAAATTTCACAGTACCTAGCAACCTTATGGTAAGCACACATTAAACTCATTCACTTATATAATATATAATAATTTTTCTTTTTTTGTATTTGAAATAAAAGTTGCGAGTATCTAAAAAACAACACCTACATTATCTTTCGCTTATTGTATTGCTTTTTGATTCCACCCTAACAATTTAAGCACGAACTCGCTTCAATTATCAAGTGTCATCGGACTATTATATATATTCCAACTATTCTCGAGATATACTTAGCTACTGTACAGAACTTTCGTTTTAAAGAAACCGAAACGAAAAAAAGTGTATTAGAATTAATTATTATTAATTTAAACAGTATCTAAATCATTTTACTTTTTCTTTATGTTTTATATGTGATATTTTGATCTTTTATAATAAACTTTCTACCTACAAAACAAATAAATATACAACGTTTTAAAAATGATATTCGAATGCAAAATTTTCCGCTCTACAAAAAGGATTTTAACGAGATTTTTTATAAAACCATTCCTTTACAAGATATACACAGTTAAAATTATACATCAAATGTACTGTATTCATATAGTGCACCATGTCGTATGAGCAAAAAAAAATCATTGATATCAATATTCATTCAATATATAATTTTACCTGCATATAACTATTAAAGGAGTGGTTTTATTGAAAAAATTATTTGCGCCTTTTTTGTAAAGCGAAAAATTTTGTACTAGAATAGAATTTTTTTAATGTTTTAGGATTACTTCTTAAATGTAAAATATTAAAAAATTGTAAAAGAAATATGATTTAGACACGGTGAAAAATTTAAAAGTGAGAAGCTTTTGGATAAACCTGAAACTCCCAATGCAGTTTGCAAAAAAATTATTTATTTTGGAAAAAACGAACACCTTAGTATTCATATTTTGTTAGCTATTAAATTGACTTGACAATTAATTACTATTTTTAATTGAAAGCAATAAGAAACGATACCTGTGATAGGAAACAGTTAGGAGTGTATAAAATCTCTATACTATGCAGAATTCACAAAAAATTTGCAGAAGGTACCGACCTATACCGATTAGGAAAAGGTTCAGCCAAGGAGAGGAAACAAGAAATCAGTTAATCATATTATATTCAGTCTAAGAACAATTCTGTTTTATATTTATTGGCTTATATTTCAACTACAGGCGACTCACTTTTTTGACAAAATATTGCAAATATCAGCACTGGAAGAGTGATTTGTTCAATAAAAGGATAACTTTTTTTTTGGATTGCCCGATCTATTTTGATGAACCGTTTAATACTCGACATGTTTTGTATATATTTAATAACAATTAGTTTACTAATTACAAAAACATTTTATACAATTTAATTGTTTTCACAACTGAAAAATTGTTTTTGAGATTTTTTCTTACATTACGTAAATTAAATTTTCGTCAGCATAGCATACATAAACTATAGTTGGCTACAGTGTTCACTTGAGTAGAGTACATAGTGTACTTGTTCATGAACTTGTGGGTACTCGTGCTTTTTCTCTTATGCTGTTTGTAGCTTTTTTTCGTAATGTTTCTATGTTAGCGACACTTGCCACGTTGTTTGTAGTGCTCAAGTACACTACATAAGTACACTTGCTGTGAAAGTGGGTGCGCGAGTATCAAATTCAAAATCTGATGAAAGAAAAACGCGCAGAGATCTGTGAAATAATCAAATAATACAACAAAAGTAGATAAAATATTTATTAAAAATGAAAGGAGAAGGTGAAGCATTTCTCAAGCTTGAAAACAAGTTTAATAATTTAACTTAAGAAAGAGTGTTGCCACTTGAAAGAAAAATGTAGTTAAGAAATCTATATCAATTTTGGAAATATCATACAAGATTTTGTATAAGCCTTATCTTTTTTTTTTAACTTATTATAACTTTAAATAGAACTTAGCATGCACATCCCAGTTTTAAATCCGCTAATAGCGAAACAAAAGCTGGAGGTGAGCCTTTGCGCCAAATACACTAAAGCCACCACCAGTAAGAATTAAATATACGAAATTTCTCTGCCAACTATTTGCACAGCGATACATGCATATGTATATATAATTCTATTTACGTGTGCTTTCAAGCGGAACATAGAGAAACGTGCCACAAAGGACATAACGAATTCTCAGCGCGCCACAAAAAAGCACACACTCATACAGCCATAGTGTAATTTAGTTATGTGCGCCCAAGTTGTGGAACTTGATGAAAGTAAAACACACACAACAAGCACTAATTGTGGCAAATGAATAAATGTGAAAGTACTTAAGCATTGAGACAGCGTTACATCGTATATATTACTGTAGTGATTTGTATATACTTCTTCATATATATACATGCATATGAAGGCTGCAATAGAGGTGGCGTAAGATGCGGTTTAATACATTTTCTCTAACACTCTGTTGTTAAATCGCGAGATTTTATATTGTGGTTTGGTCTTGGGTTCTCATGTGTTACATTTTAACATCCGCACGAAGAATAGTCTAATAATAATCCAAGATGTCATGTTTCCATACGGATTTTTGGCCACATTAATGTTGAGTATTTGGATGATTATTAGCGCTTAAGCAGCTACCTACCACGTAGTACTACTCTGAAGTGACACTGATTCCTTATGCAAGAAGAGAGACAACTCATGGAGAAGCCTTGTTTTACTTTTTTGGATTAGTGGTATCTGCTTCCCCACCCACCTCCACTACAAATTAAATTGCAACAGAACAGAAATTCGTCACCAAGCTAATATAGTATTCTATCTATTATATCTAACGGTCACAACTTTAGCATCTATTAAAGACTATTAGTGTGGTTGCCGTTATTAAAAGGCAGTTCTACATGGAAGTGTTTCACAGAAGGGGGGAATTTGATATTCCCTGAATCACATACGCCAGTACCATTCGAAAAGAAAATATTAACTATTGGAATCAAATGCGACAAGGCTTTTAAGATAATATTATCCCGATAGCAAGTAAAAACAACATATTTGTGGAGTATAGTGAATTAATTTTTTTTTTTTTGCTTTGTAGAAGAAACTAGAGCAGATGTTAACATAGTAACCGTCGAAATCGCCTCAATTTCGTTTGACTTGCTCAAGCAGCATATTCCCAGCGATCGTTGTTTTCGAAACGTCTAGTGAAAGGTTAACTTTACATAGCTTTGAAAAGTTTACTTCTTCGGTATATCCTCGAACCAGAGGTGCAAATTTTTCAATTCAAAAGTTTTGTATTAAAATTATTAGATTAATTCCAATATAGGGACTAAGAAGTAGTTTTCTATTTTTGTGTTGAAAAATTAAATTTTCATTTTTTTTATTCCGCATTTGGACTTAAAAATTAAATACATGGGATTAAAAATCATTTTATATTTAATTTTAATGTGCAGGTTTACGAACCAGTGCTCTGGAGTTTTCAAGATCATAGCTCTGTGCGAGTACTAGTATAAAATTGTAGAACACGAAAAAATTTAAAAGGCAAAACAACTTTTTCTTATATTTTAATTAATTAGGTATAATGATTTTTTTTCAGTCTAGTGTAATCCAGTTTGTGGGACCAATTTTGTTTAATGCCTTATTTGAATTTAAACAATTTTTTTCAATGCGGTATTTGGGACTGTTTTTTTTTCTTTGAATCCGAAATTTAATTCAAATGTTATTTCAATAATGCTTTTAATGCAATATTTGCAACCCTGTTTCGGACTTATGTATATTTCAGAGAATCCTAAAAATTTTGAAATATACAAAAGTTTTACAAATATAATAAATTGTAAAACCTATGTTCAGTTTTCTCTAAACTACTTCAAACCAAGTTTTTTTATATATAAAAGAATTTTGCTAAATTCAAATAGTGCATATAGTAAATAATTAATAACAGTTTTCGATTCGATTTACTTACATACATAGTTATACACATTTATGCAATCTTATCTCACTTATATTAGAAAATATAGAAAACTATACAAGCGAAAAAGACTGGAAATAACAAATTAAGTTTGTACATTGTCAATGGCAAGTGAAAATGCAAGAAAAGCAGAATTTAAATTTGCACATCGCTCTCTTAATCCTTGCAGAAATATTCAACAATTACACGACGAATATACGCATATAGAAGCAATATATAAACAAATATATATGTAAATACAACAAATATATATATATATAAGTAAAGATTATTTGAATGTATAATTGTATGCTCTCTATGGAGTCGAAGTAGTATTGCTGCCATAGCTTGGCTTGTCTCAATAATTAATGTCGAAATTGTAGCTGCTGTGGCTTTTGAATATTGCTGCCTCATTTCCAATAACGACCTGTGGCACTACACTCATACGAATGGGTACACAATTTGCTTTAATACATATATATATATGTATATTTGTGTAGATGTGAGCGTTTTAATACTCTGTACGTTTGTGCTCTTACGTTTGTGAAACTAGTAAATTCCACGTTAAAATTTCGACCAAAATTTCTAACAACTGGAATTTAATTTCCGAGTCTTTCTTGCAAAGCTATTTTGTCTACCGATGTTAATTGCGAAAACTTTAAATTTAATGACACGACAAAAATTGCAAAATGCATGTGAGTGCTCCTAACCGTGGCAGTAAGGTATATTTATACCGTGAACTATATATATTATATTAAGTTT